GCAGCTATTGTTCATGCCTTAAAGATTTGGCGGCATTTTTTGTACGGTGTCCCTTGTGAGGTCTACACCAATCAGCGAAGTCTACAATATCTGTTTAAATAAAAGGATCTTAACTTGCGGCAACAAAGGTGGTTGGAGTTGCTTAAGGATTATGATATCACCATTCTCTATCATCCCGGGAAGGCCAATGTAGTGGCCGACGCCTTGAGTCATAAGGCAGAGAGTTTGGGCAGCTTAGCATACTTACCGGTAGCAGAGAGACCTTTGGCCTTGGATGTTCAGGCCTTGGCCAATCAGTTTGTTAGATTGGATGTTTCCGAGCCGAGATGAGTTTTGGCTTATGTGGTTTCTCAGTCTTCTCTTTATGATCATATCATAGAGCGTCAGTATGATGACCCCCATCTGCTTGTCCTTAAGGATACAGTTCACCATGGTGATGCTAAGGAAGTCACTATTAGAGATGACGGTGTATTACGGATGCAAGGAAGGCTATGTGTACCCAATGTAGATGGCTTGCGTGAGTTGATTCTCTAGGAAGCTCATAATTCGCGGTACTCCATTCATCCGGGTGCTGCAAAGATATATCAGGACTTGAGACAACACTATTGGTGGAGGCGGATGAAGAAAGACATAGTGGAATATGTAGCTCAGTGCCTAAATTGTCAGCAGGTGAAGTGTGAGCATCAGCGACCGGGTGGATTGCTTCAGAAGTTAGAGATTCCAGAATGGAAATGGGAGCAGATTACTATAGATTTTGTTGTTGGGCTCCCACAGACTCAGAGGAAGTTCGATGCAGTTGGGTGATTGTGGATAGATTGACCAAGTCAGCTCATTTCATTCATGTGGTTACTACTTACTCTTCGGAGCAACTGGCTCAGGTCTACATTCGCGAGATTATCAGGCTTCATGGCGTACCGATATCTATCATCTCTGACCAGGGTACACAGTTTACATCAAGGTTCTGGAGAGCCATACAGCGAGAGTTGGGTACTCGTGTGGAGTTAAGTATAGCATTTCACCCTCAGACGGACGGACAGTCCGAGCACACTATTCAAATATTGAAGGATATGCTTCGTGCGTGTGTGATGGATTTTGGGGGTACTTGGGATCAGTTCTTACCACTTGCGGAGTTTGCTTACAACAACAGCTACCAGTCAAGCATTTAGATGGCTACATATGAGGCCTTTTATGGTAGGCGGTGCCGGTCTTCAGTGAGTTGGTTCGAACTGGGCGAGGCTAGGCTATTGGGTACAGACTTAGTTTAGGATGCCTTGGAAAAGGTTAAATTGATTCAGGATCGACTTCGTACAGCCCAGTCTAGACAGAAGAGTTCTGCCGATCGGAAGGTCAGTGATATTGCTTACATGGTTGGGGAGAAGGTTCTGCTCAAGGTTTCACCCATGAAAGGTGTGTTGAGATTCGGGAAAAAGAGCAAGTTGAGTCCTAAGTATATTGGTCCTTTTGAAATACTTAAGAAGATTGGAGAGATGGCTTATGAACTTGCGTTGCCGCCTAGTCTATCGGGTGTTCATTTAGTATTTCATGTATCGATGCTCCGGAAGTATGTCGGAGATCCGTCTCATATTTTGGATTTCAGTACAGTACAGTTGGATAGTAATTTGACGTATGATGTGGAGCCGGTGACCATTTTAGACCGGCAAGTTCGAAAGCTGAGATCAAAGAACATAACTTCAGTGAAAGTGCAGTGGAGAGGCTAGCTAGTCGGAGAAGCTACCTGGGAGATTGAGCGGGAGATGCGGAGCAAATATCCACACCTATTTGAGGCTCCAGGTATGATTCTAAACTCGTTCGAGGACGAAAGTTTGTTTAAGAGGGGGAGAATGTAAAAATCCGGTCGGTCATTTTGAGTATTACAGCCCTGTTCCCCTATTTACTGCTCAATTTATGATTTACAGTTGTTATGAGACTTGCCGGGGTAATTGGTTAAGGTCCGGTGAGGTTTTTAAATGAATTGAGATGCTTAGTCTCCAAAATAAAAATTTAAGTTGAAAAGATTGACCGGATGTTGGCTTATGTATAAACGACCCCGGAATAGAATTTTGATGGTTTCAATAGCTCCGTATGATAATTTTGGACTTAGGAGCATGTCCGAAAAATTATTTGGAATTCCGTAGTTAAATTAGGCTTGAAATGGCTAAAATAGAAATTTAAGTTTGGAAGTTTGACCGGGGAGTTGACTTTTTGATATCGGGGCCGAAATCCGATTCTGAAAATTTTTATACCTCCGTTATGTCATTTATGACTTATGTGCAAAATTTGAGGTCAATCGGACTTGATTTGATAGGTTTCGGTATCGAATGTAGAAGTTAAAAATTCTTATGTTCATTAAGCTTGAATTGAGGTGTCATTTGTGATTTTAGCATTGTTTGATGTGATATGAGGCTTTGACTAAGTTCGTATGCTATTTTAGGACTTGTTGGTGTATTTGGTTGAGGTCCCGGGGGCCTCGGGTGAGTTTCGGATGGTTAACGGATCAAATTTGGACTTAAAACAATTGAAACTTGTTGCTGCCTACTGATGCAATCGCACCTGCGGAATTTGGCTCGCAGGTGCGAGCTCGCAGAAGCGAGCCTGGCATCGCAGAAGTGAGCATAGCATCGCAGAAGCGGATGGTCCGCAGAAGCGGATGAGGCATCGCAGAAGCGTGACCGCAGAAACGACGCAATGGTCGCAGATGCGGCATGGGCTAAGGGGGCCTTGAACCGCAAAAGCGAGTCTGTAGAAGCGGTCTCCTTGTCCGCAAAAGCGAAGGCTGTCGCAGAAGCGGGAGATTTACCACAAAAGCGGAACAACAAATGCGGTTAAAAATTCCGCAGAAGCGGAACCTCTGGGCATTGTACAAAAATATAGGGTTCCGAGTTTTTGTCATTTTTGGACATTTCCAACACGGCTTTGGGGCAATTTTCAGAGAGAATTCATAGAAAAACTTGTGGTAAGTCACTTGTGATCATTGTTAGTCAATAATATTGGATTATCATTGAGTATTTAGACTAGATGACATATTTTTGAGGTGAAATTAGAGGATTTGGGCCTAGGGATTTCAAAATAAGAATTTGAGATTTGGAGGTCGAGTTGATGTCGGAATTTGGTAAATTTGGTATGGTTGGACTAGTCGTTGAATGTGCATTCATATTTTATAAATTTTGCCAGGTTCTGAGACGTGGTCCCTACGAGCGATTTTTGAGTTAAATTTCGGGTTTTTGTTGAAAAATCTGTATTTTCATATGGAATTAATTTCTATAATTTGTATTGACTGAATCAAATTAATTGTAACTAGATTCGAGTCGATCGGAGTCAGAAAATCGAGGAAAAAGCATTCTTATTAACTAATTGGGCTTGGCTTGAGGTAAATAACTTGTCTAACCCTGTGTGGGGAAAATCTCCTTAGGATTTGAAACTATTATAACATTTTTGTGATATGTGAGCGTCGTGTACGCGAAGTGATGAGTGCGTACACGGGCTAAATTTTGAAATATCGGTTCTTGCTGAGTAGTCTTCTTTTAAATTCTTTAACTGAGTTGCCTTAGCATATGTAGTGATCATGTCGAGCCTAGTATCACATGTCTACGTGCCTTAACTCTTACGTGCAATATGTGCAACATGCTTAACTAAATTACCTGCTTTCCTTGATTTGATTTAAATCTTTAACTTGAAAATTTTCTTGCTGAAAATTTATTGTTGCTCTGACTACCTGCTGTATATTTACTTTTGGGACTGCTGTATATTTACTTTTGGGACTACGAGGCGGTTCCTCGAGAGATCCCTCTGCACTGCATATTTACTTTTGGGACTATGAGGCAGTTTCTCGGGAGATCCTCCTGCACTGTATATTTAATTTTGGGACTACGAGGCGGTTCCTCGGGAGATCCGCATGCACTACATATTTTCTTTAACTGAGTTGCCTTAGCATATGTAGTGATCATGTCTAGCCTAGTATCACATGTCTAGGTGCCTTAACTCTTACGTGCAATATGTGCAACATGCATAACTGAATTACCTGCTTTCTTTGATTTGATTTAAATCTTTAACTGTAAGATTTTTTGCTGAAAATTTATTGTTCCTCCGACTAACTGCTGCATATTTACTTTTTGGACTATGGGTGGTTCCTCGGGAGGTCCCACTGCACTGCATATTTACTTTTGGGACTACGAGGCGGTTTCTCAGAAGATCCCCTTGCACTGCATATATACTTTTGGGACTACGAGGCGGTTCCTCGGGAGATCCCCATGTATTGCATATTTAATTTTGGGACTACGAGGCGGTTCCTCGGGAGATCCCCTATACTGCATATTTACTTTTAGGACTATGAGGCGGTTCCTCGGGAGATCCCCCTGCACTGCATATTTACTTTTGGGACTATGAGGCGGTTCCTCGGGAGATCCCTCATGTACTGCAGATTTAATTTTGGGACTACGAGGAGGTACCTTGGGAGCGCGCCTGTTGTTTACCTCTAATTGTTGTGTTGTTATCTTTCTGTAAATTTTATTTATTTCTTTGTCACTTAGTTACACTATTATAAATTTCTGCCTTATTTATTATTATTTTCAGTAGGGACTGACGTGACCTCATCACTACTCTACCGAGGTTAGGCTTGGAACTTACTGGATACTGATGTGGTGTACTCATACTACGCTTCTGCATATTTTTTTGTGTAGATCCAGGTACTTCCTATCAGACCAGGTATCAGTAAACTAGTTATACACGAAGACTTTAAGGTACATATGCCAGCATCCGTAAACCTCGGAGTCTTCTCTATCCTTATTATGTTGTCTTCCTGATTTCTCTTTAGACTCTGAAGAGGCATCGTCTCTCCATCTAATCCATCTTACTGGCTTCCCAACACTCTTGATACAAAAGAAACCTAAACTATTTCTGGTAAAAACAATAAATCAAGGACCAAAATAGTCTCACTCATATACTTTGAGGACCATTTTGATAACTTTCCCCTAATATCGTTACAATTCGGTTTAGAAGAGTTATCCAAGTCGTTAGTAACTTCCAGAAACTTCCTACTCCAATGGACCCCGAAACCCAACCGGCAAATTCCACTCCCTTCGCCGCCGGCGATGATTCTGACGGTCACAACGAAGAGAAGCGGCGAAAACTTTGCTTTAACTGTAACAGACCAATAAAAGTGTGTTTATGCAGCATAATTCCACCGGAACCAATCGCAACTATTACTCGAATCGTAATCCTTCACCATCCTCACGAGCAACGGCACAAGCTCGCCACGGTCCCTGTTCTATCCAAGTGCCTCCGCAAATGCGACGTTATAGTTGGCCGGAGATTACGCTACGGCGATTCAGAAATTCTCGATTCTCTTCACGATGTTGCTATTCGTAACCCTAATTTTCCGCACAGAGCAATTTATCTGTTTCCTGGTATGAAGTTATTCGAAAAACTTACTTCTTGAGTGAACGAGTTTAATCTTTTCTAATTTTATTTTTCTTGGTAATAACTGTGAATATTACCATTTCCAAACCACATTAACACATACACTTAAAGAGCACCCAAGCACCAGCCACGCACTGCTGGCAGCAGTAGGTCTCGCAGTCTAATTACAAATATGTTCAATGAGATCTATGCACCTCCTAGTTCGCTTTCCCTCCCTATACATTTGAATCCTCTCTATAACTATACTCTTTATCTGTTGTATTACAAAATCCCTACTAACTTTCTGTTTTCTAAAGAAAAATAAGTTCCTACTCTGCCATATAATTTTATTTTATTTGAGATTGTATTGTTGATAATGTCGGGCAAGTGTTGGTAGAGCTAGATTAGTTGTGATTAATTTGTTGTAAAAGACGAAATTTAGATGTGTTATCGAGTATCAGAATGACATAGGTCTAAATGGAGCGGAATGGTTATTTAGGATTCATATAGCTTGCCCGAAGTAGTTGGGATTGAGGTTTTTTGTTGTCTGTTAATAATTGAGAATAGTGAATTGCTATATCAAGCTGAAAAAAGAAAATGTCCGCACACTTGGAAGATGATTTGCCACTTAGCAGAGGAGAAAACAGAGGAAAAGGATTTACTTTAATTGAAAGTAAAAGGGAAGTCATAAATTGTAGGTCGTATAAAGCTAATTGTACCTGGAAGACTCAAGAATGAGAAAGGGTTATCAGTGTATATTGTGTAGAGATAAAGGTACCTTGAAGAAAGAGAAGGGATGCTTACAGAAAATGAGAACGATTTCTCCTTGCTTAGACAGAACTTTAGTGTAAGCACCAAGGCACTAAGACGCACCTCGTCACTCATGAGTTTTGTCTTTGAAGAGAGGGAGACTAAACAATAAATATAGTTAAACGTTATGAATGATTATATTAGTGATCATGAATAGAACATTCAAATTTAGTGTAAGAATATTGCTTACAGAATTTGATTAGAAACTTAAAATTGCATTTTCCATCCTGGTAAAAAATTAAAACTGATTTTGAACTTGATGAGATATGATTTTGCTTGACATATTCTACTCAACTGTAATATCTTTTAATTCCTTTATATAAATAATTGTCTTTTATATTTACAGTTATTATTTTCCCATTACTTATATATGCTTTAACTGTTTTCTTCATTTGTGCCTATCTTCTCCGAAGCTAATGCTTCAACTGCACTTTTCTCTTAAAGCTCCAGTAGACTTTAATGCTTTTCTGTGCGTTTCTCCTTTACAATACTACCAAAAAGAAAAATCTCAAAAGAGATGAAAGGTACTGAATTTGGTCATACAAATGAGCTTAAACATCACTATATTGTCTGTGTTGTCACCAAACTATGAGGGTGTTTGTATTGGCTTAAAAGCTGGCCAAATTAGCTTAAAAGTACTTTTTGGCTTGTTTTAGTGTATGGCAAATATAAAAAGTGCTTTTAAGCGAAAACAACTCAAAACAAGCCAAAAGCAATAAGTTGATCTACTCCAACTTATTGCTTTTTGACTTAAGAGCACTTGGGGTTTGACCAAGCCAATTACATTTTTATCCCTTGCTCCTTCGTCTTTGTCTATTCGTTTGACCTTGTCTGCAATTGCTTCCATGTCGAGTGCTCACATTTTGAGAAACTCTTTTTCATTCTTCTTTTAAATCCCTTTCGATTAAACTAGTAAGATTGCAAAGAGTTAAAATAAAAAGCTTTCGGTGGTTGAATGAAAATATGGAAAAAATATTTTAAGGAAAGAAGGTAGGAAAAAAGATGCTTCCATTTGCCCAATTTACATGCTTAACACTATGGTTTATTTTATTAGCAGTTTGTACACCATGACAGGTTACCTATGTTCTTTCTTTGACAGAGAATTCTGCATATGAACATACAGTGAAGATCTGGTCTAAGGGAAAAAAATATCTTTCATAAATTAAAATAATTTTATCTAACAAATTTAGAACTTAAAATATGTTAAAAACATAATTAATTTGTACTATTATCAATTTAGAATTAATATTTGGTAATAATTAATTTATTTAATTTTTAACAGTTTTGAGGACATTTTAGTTATTTTAATATAAAATAGTGCTTATTAGCACTTTTTCACCAAACACACCAATTGCTTATTTTAAGCTTCAACACTTCTAGCCAAGCATGTAAGTGCTTCTTTTTTGAATTCAGTTCCATCACTTCAAAAGTGCTTTTAAGCCCAAATGCTTAAAAGCTACTTTTATTCGGCTAATCCAAACGGGCTCTATATCTAGGGATATAACTCAATATCATCCTTGGACCAAATTTCTTTTGGCTATTAATCTAGATCCTCATGCCATAATTATTCAATCATGTCAAATGAAATAATTGGTTGATGACCATTTCTCATGCACACCAACCCTGTAGCGGCACTCTCATCCCCTCAAACCTGCAGCATGCCCGCCAAGAGAAACAATCTCCTTTTCTTCATTTATTTTCTGATTCTTTTTCTGGTTGTTGACTAATGGGAAAAAGTTATGTGACTGTGATTCTTCAGGTGCTGATACATCACCATCTCAGGAAATCAATCATTGGAAATCCTCTAAACATACTGTAGAGATGATCAACTACGTCTTGATTGCTTTTGATGGAACTTGGAAGCATGCTCGAGAGATGATGCGTGCAAGCTTATCATTTTTGTCAAAGTTTGCTGTCCAGGTTCACTTAGACTATGATGTAGGCAATGACGGCAGGACGATCTTCAATTCTGATTTAATTCTTAGGAAGGAACCATTTAGCGGGTGCATGAGTACCATGGAGGCAGTAGCACATTGCTTACGGATTCTTGAGCCTAATGGCATTGATGTAGAGTCAAGTTTGATAGAGGTTTTAAGAAGTATGGTCAAGTTTCAGGCTTCTTTTCTCAAGCCTATGAAGCCTAGGCCAAAGTTGATAAAGGGAGGACGAGAGGGAAAAACATAATTGCTTTGTTCCATTTTCTTTGTACTTCTGAAGCAACATGCACAAGGATAGCCTCAAATTCTGTTTTGGATTGCACATGCCGGACTGCTCAAGGCTATCCAGCCTGTACCTGGTACTTGTCCCAAGTTTCACTGGTTTCAACTTCCAATTCATATCACTGATGGTTTTTATTAGGAAATTCAATATCCCCATTCTGCTTGTGCTTAGTTCCTCTGAATACCTTGACTTGATAGTTTGAGGCTTATATGTTGTCTAATATGTCTAGATCCTTTGATATGTCAATGCTGTTGTGCTGTAGATCTTATATGGTGTAGAAGATATGTTTGTTCTTGAGTTCTTGAATCTATAGAGATGTTATAGCGTACTTTACTGGCTATTGAAGATTGGTTTTCGAAGTCATTTTGTAGCAAATTAAGTGCTGGGATGCCAAATGGTTGCAATTTTTTTTTATTATTAATGTTCTGGATTAGTAGTTACTATGAATTACGATCTCACTCTCCCTGTTGCAATTCACTATATAGGTATCCCGATTGAGCAAAAGGCGTGGCCATGAGGTGCTTTGATGAGGTTATCCAAATTCTTCAGTTGCAGAAAACCTTGCCAGACGGTGTTTTGATTGGTTGGGGTATATGGCAGTAACCTGCTTATGCGGCAGTTGTCTCGCATTCTGCTTTTCTCCGGCCTCAATGGCATCTTGTTTCAGGTCAAATTTCTGTAAAGTAGTCAGCCTGGGAAATCTGAATCTTGGGCTTTGATTTCTTTGATGAGCACTTGGAAGCATGCTAAGGAACTTACATGATTTTCAGGTAGTTGGCTGATGATCTTCAATTCGGACATGGCCAGCACAAGAACAATGGGGCCAAGTTCGAATAAAAGAACCAAAGTGCAATTCCTAATGTCAAATCTTGAAGCCTTGGCTTCATCTGCTTCAAAGAGGGCAAAGAGGATGTCTAAAAGATTAATGAGACTGAATGTCTTAACATGAAGTTTACTTTAAGAAGTTTGTTCTGTCTTAGTGGTGGTGGTGTAATTATCATTTAATCGTTTGCTTCAATTCATGGCGATTAATCTTAACTCTTTAAGCAGTTGCAGCCAGTGGCGACATTTGCCCGTTCGCGTTAATGTTGCCTTGGCACTCTCCTGTCAGCGTAAAAGCACCCTCTATCCACTTGGAGTGCTAGTCACAAATTGATACTTTATTTAACAATGAATAAGTAAGAAATTATTATATAAAAGCATATACTGTTGTGTATTTATTGGCAGTTCAAACATGCGAATGAGAAGTCTTTTTGACACTTTGGGATATGAACTTTGGTTACAAAAACTAGTTTAGTGACTTTTGTGATGTTTACGTAAAGTTAGAATGATATTTCCATCATAAAAATTTGTTTAGTGATTTTAACGCAATCATCTACGAAACAGCTGAGTAATCCAAATAAAATGAATTTATTCGTCCTGATAATATGCATTCAATTTTTTAATATATGCAATTTAATCCGAAGGCAGCGGTTACGAAACAAAAGAAGAAAAAAAGGTGGAATATTTTAACGAGAAGCTGTCTCATGATTAGACGGTTTCGCGCTCTCTTGCTGTTCATATAACTGCCACACCTTAACTGCCTTCTTACAAGACTCGCTCCGCCTTATTTACCTCCATCATTATTGTAGATTGTACACACACACTGTTTCGTTTCTTCGTATGAATTATCAAATCTTATGAATTGATATGAAAAATGTTCAAATGTTAGGAAGAGCAAGGAAATACATTGGCATTCGTTGCAGCAATTGTTCGCTAGCATTTTCCTTTGTTACTTTCTATGTTAAACTAATTTTTTCCCAATTTCAGAGCCGAAAGATCACAAGCAGCTGTGATCGATTGTCTTTGGTGATTATCTGCGGATCTCTTGTTGGTTGCATGCATGTAATATTTGTGTCTCCACCTCAGTTATTCTTTGGTATGAAGGAAAATTCAGTGTTTGGTTACCTTGAATTGCTGAAAATATTCTCTTTTTTCCTCCGGAAGCGGGAATATAAGGCACTTAAAAGTATCTCATTCTTAATTTGTAAATATGTAGAAGTTATGTGAAATCGGAAGAATGAAATTTAGGGTTCATGTTTGGTTTGAGAGGAAACTTTCAGATACTTTCTATATCAGAAGAGAAAAATATAAAATGTTCTTTACAATTGAAGACTGGACCCAATGTATTTATATGATCCGGAACTTAATACTTTATAATACTCTAAATTGGGTTACCCGGATAAATTACAACATATGGCCAAATATAATGGGTCTAACATTAGCCTATACCCATTGGGCCTATTCTAACAGCCCCCCTCAAGTTGGAGGGTGACAAAACCCCCAACTTGCGAAGATGAAAATAGTGAGCAAGCATAGGCAAGGCTTTTTGTGAGCAGATCAGCAACCTGAGCAGAGCCGGAGACATGATGCAAACTCAACAGGCCCTCACCAAGCTCGCGTCTAACAAAATGACAATCAAGTTCAATATGTTTGGTCCGTTCATGAAACACAGGATTGCGAGCAATATGCAAAGCTGCCTGATTATCACAGAACAGAGGAACAGGAGAAGAACAAGAGACACCAAAATCACCCAACAATCTAGAGACCCAAGTAACCTCTGCAACAGCCTTACTCATTGCCCTGTATTCAGCCTCATCAGATGAAAGGGAGACAACATGTTGCTTCTTGGACTTCCAACTGATAAGGCTCCCACCAAGAAAAATACAAAACCCAGAAACAGATCTTCTCCTATCAGCACAAGAAACCCAATCACTGTCACAAAATACTTGCAAGGACAAATCAGGAGAAAAATTGAAGAATATACCTTAATCAGAGGTACTTTTCAAATATCTCAAAACATGAAGAGCACCCTGCATATTGGGAACACAAGGAAACTGCAAAAATTGACTGAGATGCTGGACTGTAAAGCTGATATCAGGTCTGGTGTGGGTTAAAAAATTCAACTTCCCAACCAGACATCTGTAATCATCAGGCTTAGGCAGGGGGTCTCCAACCTTGGCTTTCAGTTTGGCATTCAACTCAAGAGGACAAAAAGCAGGGGTACAAGAAGAAGACTTAAATGATTCTATCATGTCATGAATGAACTTCTTTTGATGTAAAAGAACTCCAGAATCAGAATAAGAAACTTCAATCCCAAGGAAATAGTTAAGGACCCTAAATCCTTAATTCTGAACTGCTCATGTAAGAATCCTTTTAATGAAGAAAGTCCATGCAAATCACCCCCTGTAAGGATGATATCATCCATATAAACAACTAGAATCACCAAGGAAGCCCCAGAACCCCTAGTAAATAGAGAGTAATCATTCAAAGAATGAGAATAACCTCTAGAGCACAATGCCCGGGACAATTTAGCATACCATTACCTAGAGGCCTGCCTTTGGCCATAAAGAGACTTCAGAAGTTTGCAAACCAAAGGGGCAGAAGTACAAGAAGTAGGAACCGAAAGCCCAGGGGGAAAGCTTCATGAACACCTCTTCATCAAGATCACTATGGAGAAAAGCATTATTAACATCAAGTTGAAACATTGGCCATTGATGCTTAATAGCTACAACAATCAAGGTTTTGACAGAGGCCATTTTAACAACAGGGGAAAAGATCTCATGAAAGTTCACCCCCTCAACCTGTGTGTCCTCCACTAACAACTAGCCTGGCCTTATACCTTTCTATGCTACCATTTGCTCTATACTTAACTTTGTACACCCACTTACATCCTATAGGCTTCTTACTAGGAGGAAGATCAACAATATCACAGGTCTTATTGGCCTCCAAAGCTTCAAATTCCAACCTCATGGCATCCTGCCACTCAGGTATGACTGCAGCCTGAGAGTAACAAGAAGGTTCAGGGATGTGAAGGTGACTAGGGGTGACAGTGTCAGGAGCAGAAGCATGATTGTGATTGTTAGAGGAAATGGAGGTATTGCAAAGGTAGTCTTGAATATAACTAGGAGGGTTGTGAGGTCTATCTGACCTCCTCAAAGGAACAAAAGAAGAAGAAATGGGAGAAGGAAGGGAGGAGGAAGGACTGGAAGAAGAAGGAGGGGGAGAAGAAGGCAGACTATGAGATACATTAGGGGAGGAGAAAGTAGGAATGGATTCAGAATGAGGAGAAGAAAATGATGACGGAGTTGGAAAATAAGGCAGGTCATCAAAACATTGGAGTAAAGGGGAAAGAAGAGAGGGAGAAGAAGGAGAAGATGACTTGAGAAAAGGAAATACATGTTCATAAAACACTACATCTCTTGATACAAAGCAGACTTTAGTGGCTAAATTATAGAGATTATATCCTTTTTTACCAAAAGGGTAACCTACAAAGACACAAGGAAAAAGGTGAAACTTGTCTTTGTGTGGTTTGGTGATAGTAGAGTAACACAAACACCCAAAAGCCCTGAGATGGGAGTAAATGGGAGGCTTATTGTACAGAAGTTCATAAGGACTCTTAGAGTGAAGTAGGGGAGAAGAAAACCTATTAATGAGATAAGTGGTAGTGAAGAGACAATCCCCCCCAAAACTGAGGGAAGATGGGATTGAAAAAGAAGAGCTCTTGCAGTTTCTAATAGATGTCTATGCTTCCTCTCCACCACTCTATTCTGTTGAAGAGTGTGAGGACAGGTGGTTTGATGCAATATCCCTTTGGAAGAGAAGAATTGATGGCCAGAAGAACTAGAACCCAATTCCAAAGCATTATCACTCCTAATTGTTTGATTTTTAGAATTAAAGTATGTTTCAACCATAGCAATAAAGGCTTTTAACATGTCAAAAGCATTACTTTTGGATCCCAGCAAATGCGTCTAGGTTGCCCTAGAGTAGTCATCAACTATTGTTAAAAAGTACTTGGAGCCAGTGTAGGTTGGTGTAGGGTAGGGTCCCCAAGTATCAATGTGTATAAGTTGTAAAGGGTGAGTAGACTGAATGGAGCTATCAGGGAAAGGTAATCTGACCTATCTTGCTAGAGGACATACTGGGCAGGTGAAGGATTGTTTAGGAGAAAATTTGCAAGTACTATCATAAATAAGTCTCAATTTTGAAAAGGGAATGTGTCCAAGTCTATAATGCCACACAATTTCATCTTTATTCACTTTAGAAGAAACATCAATGGTATTTATAATTGTACTATCAACATTAATATCAATAGAAACTGCAGGAATATAAGAAGAAGTGGAAAAACAAGAATTAAAGGAAACAAATTTAGTAGAAGGTGGATAATTTGGCTTGTTGAAATAACTTGTATAGGCCATTCTCTAATCTACCAAGAACCACTGGCTTCTTCACTGAAGGACCCTGTAGAGTACAAGCATTCTTGGAAAATTGAACAACATCATCATAATGAGACAACAACTTATAGACTGAGATGAGATTGTGTTGAAAACTAGGAATATAAAGAACATTGTGGAGAATTAGATCAGGAAATAGGGCTAAAGAACCAACATTAGTAACTTTGACCTTATATCCATTTGGTAAGGAAACAAGATAAGGTACAAGTAATTCCATTTACTTTAGACAACATACAAGCCCCATAGGAAACCCCTTTATAAGGTAAGAGCTTACCAACAAAATTGGTAGAACCTATGAGTTCCTGAGATGTAGCAGAGTTAGAAGCAGAGATTTGTGAGTGTCGAAGCATCATCATCGGCTGAGAATACTGTTCTTTGGTGAGTCCTGGTATGGTAGAGAACTGATCACCAGACATAACACAAACATCAGTACCACCAAACCTATCAGTAGTACCAAAATCACCATGAGCAGGTGAATTATTAGGTTTAGTAGTCTCAATATGAGCATCAATTCTGCGAGGAGGTCCTTTGTTGAACTTGAAGTTGGGAGAAAACCGTGTAGTTTATAATACTTTTCTATGGTGTGCCCAGGTTTCTTGCAATACTTGCAAGTGACAATAGGTCTAGGAGTTTCAAAGGAAACCTTGGAAGGGAAATATGGTTTGGATGTGCCAGCATTGAATATAGCAGAAGTAGTTGAAAAATGAGATGTAGAGGAGACTTGTCTCTGCTTTTCATCAGACAAAAGGATGCTATAGGTGTTTCCAATAGAAGGGAGAGGCATCATCATTAATATGTTGCTCCTAATTTGTATATAAGTGTCATTGAGGCCCATAAGGAATTGATATACTTTATGTTCCTCATCTTCAGCAGCCTTACCCCCACAAGTACAAACCCTCACTCGATAAGATGCTATCTCATCCCAC